CCACTTCCTCTTTTACCACACAAGGTGTTCAGGTTTGGAAGTTTCCTACCACGCCCCTCTCAGCCTGACCCCTCACCCCACCCCCAGCCCCCTTAGTGAGGTTTAGATCTTTTTTTTAAGTTGGATGGGGAAGCAGTGTCCTTGGGGACAAGAGGAGAGTGAGAAGCTCTCTTAGTGGATGGCACTTTTAGTTTCTTAAAGCAACGTCACCCGTCTGCCCACTCAATCAGATAGTCTTTCAACACACGCTTGCTGGGAGCCTGCTTCTTGCTGACCTTGGGAGTAAAATCTAGTCAGTCCCTGGCCTCCAGGAGCCTCAGTTTAAAGGAGGAAAGAACCAGATCAACAGGGGCTTTCTTTTTTTTTTTTTTGAGTTGGTGTCTCACTCTATCGCCCAGACTGGAGTGCAGTGGCTGCTCCCGGCCACCGCAGCCTCGACCTGCTGGGCTCTGGCGATCCTTCCACCTCAGCCTTCCGAATAGCTGGAATTACAGGCACGCACTACCACGCCCGACTGATTTTTTTGATTTATTGTAGAGATGAGGTCTGGCCAAGTTACCCAGGCAGGTCTCGAACCCGTGGGCTCAGGCAATCCACTTACCTCAGCCTCCCAAAGCGCAGGATTACAGGCTGAGCCACCGAGCCTGGCCAACAGGAGCTTTCTTACTCTGCCCCTGCTCTACCCTCGCTGTGAAGGGAGGTGGGGCGGGGCACACCCTCCTCCCATTTAACAGAGGAGGAAACTGGGCTGAGGAGCAGTGCCTTCACCTGAGAGGAAAAAGAGGCTGCTTGTAGAAATTTCAGAGCATCCCTGTCCCCTATGGTAGGAAGCTGATTTCATTCCAACAACCATTCTGGAGGGAAGCTGAGGCAAGAGAGGGTAATATTCCCATATCACAGATGGAGAAACCGAGGCACAGAATGTAGAGAGGATTTGTTCAGGCCATAGCTAAGACCCAAGGCTGGATTCAAGAGCATGTATTCTTTCTACTGCAGCAAGCTGTCTTTTCCAGAAAGCATCTTGAAATTATTTGGAAAAAATATTGGTGGGGCAACTGAGTCCTAACAGCCATGCCAGGGATCATCGGGGAGACCTTGTTTGGATTCTGGAGTTGGGGGTGTTCGGAGCCCAGGCAGGTGTCTCTGGGGCTGAGGGAGTCTGACTCAGAGTCACAGGCCTTGAGCCTCCTGAAATGTGTTCGTCTGAGAGGGTCCCAGAGTCAGAGGTGGGTGTTTAAGGGGTGGGGTCCAGGGGGACTCAGCACTCCCTTCCCAGCCTTTCCCAGTGGGAGGAGGGGGCGGGGCACCACGCCAGCATTCCTGCAGCCCGGGAGTGTCACCCGCTCTGAGATAAGGAGGCGGATTTTTAGAATTTCTTGTGGTTGGCACGGCCAGTGTCAGCGGGCTTGGGGAGGCACGTCAGGGTCACAGGTGCAGCCTCCTCCCTGCCCTGGGCAGCTCTGAGGGCACATCAGGCCCCCAAAGGAAGACTGGAGGGAAACAGGGAGGGGACTTTCACTTTTAGCAGGACCTTTGGGTGCTGACCGAGAGTCCTGCAGCAGGAGAGTTGTGAATGTGGAAAACTGAGGTGCAGTCATGTCAGGCTGACAGCTCACTGTGGCCTCTGGGTAATGTGTGCTTACCATGTGTAGGTGTGCTTTCCTGAATCATCCAGGTCGAGCCTCACAACCAACCTGGATTTCAGGAATTCTCCAGGGGAAGGAAGGAGGCTGGGGCAGAAGGTAACCTGCTTTGGGTTCCACAGTGAGAACAAGAGACCCTGGGGTCAACCCTGGGTCTGCCTGGCTCTAGGATCCAGGCTTACTAGGATGAGGGCTCTGAGTCAGCAGCCTGGTTCACACCGTGACTGCCTTCTCTTTGCCGTATGACCCTGGGCAAGTTACTTAACTCCCTGGGTCTCAGCTTTTGCCTGTGTAAAACAGAAAAAAGCAACCCAGGAAACAGTCCCTCCTTCCTAAGGGGGTTGGGAGATGCGGTACGTGGCGGGGTCTCCTGCTTACTCCAGACCCAGCTCCAGGGCCTCTTGCTCTAGGACGGGTCCCTTGCCCTATCCCCCTGTCAGATATAGTGAGTCCGCCTTCCCCTGGGAGCCTCCTGGTCACTGAGGGTGGGGAGGTGTTGATTTTCTCCTTTCCACGGTCAGGGACTTCTCTGATGAACCCCCATGTGCTGCTCTGATGAACCCCCATGTGCTCCGTGGCTTTTGCTAGGTTGGCTCTGCCCACTGTAAGGACCTGTGGTGTGCTCGGAAGGGGAGGGTGGTGCCAAGGGCCCTGTCCTTGTGGCCAGAGCTGGGGGAGAGCCATCTGGCCTTAGAATGGGCCTAGGCCTGCAATCAGCAATTTGGGCCTTTGTTCTGGAACATCCATCAGCAGGTCATCGGCCGAGTCAGGCTTGCTGGTAGTTCATTTGCTCTGACATCTAAGTGGCAAAAGGCCTTAGGCCACTTTGAAATGCTGCATGCCATGGAAGGGGCCAGAGACAGGCTCCCGCAGGCCACCGAGCAAGCAGATTCCCAGGATCTCTGGGTTCCAGTCCTGGTTCTGTCACTGGCACACTGTGTGACCACCCTCTCTGAGCCTGGGTATCAGCCAGGTGATGTGGTTTCTCTGGTGCTTGGATGCATAAATTTTGGTGTAGGAAAAAACCCAGGTTTGAGCCCTGACTGCTCTGCTACTGTTCAGCAAATATTCCTTCACCTTCAACTCTGTACCTCAGTTGTCTCCATCTGTAAAATGGGGGAATAAGAAGTTCCTACTTCTTAGGGGTTATTGTGAGAACTAACTGGGATTTTGCACACAGAGCAGCAGGCACAGTGACTGACACTCCGTGAATAACTGAGTAATTGTAATTGCTCAGTCAATTATATATTGCGTGTTAGGCATTAACTTGCTACAGGGTGCTAGAGAAAGCTAGGTAAGACATGTTCCTTGGATCAGTGACTTCAGGCCTCCTCCAGGCTGAGTTGGGGACAGGCTTTGGGCTTAGATCTGGATTTAATCACCATTCCACCCTTCACAGGCTATGTGGCCTTGGGCAAGGCCTTTAGCCTCTGTGAGTCTTGGCTTCCTTGTCATGTGCAAAATAGGGATAATCACCACTTTCCAGCCTGTTGGTGGGAGTAACTGAAGCTGAGTCCTGGACAAGATATGCAGTAGGCACTCACATATGGTGTTGACAATCACAAACACTTATGGGACACTTGCTGCATACCTGGTCCTGGCCTGGGTTTTGAGGGGAATGAAGAAGACGTCCAGGGCTTCAGCTCTTTGCTCAAAGTGTCCCTGTGAAGAGAAAGCCGACACTTTGGGTAACCTTACGAGCCCCCAGCCCCTGTTCTACTGCTGCCTTGCAATCCTGTGGCATTTAGTCACCGTTCTTTGACTCTGTGGAGCATACAGGGACAGACAGGTGCTCAGGTTCCAGACCCAGCTCTCCCCGGTCACACCTGCCCTGGCCACTTGGTAGCCTCATGATTGTGCAAATGGACTGCCTCTCCGTGGCTCACTGTTTGTGTAGATATAGGTGTAGAACCTCTCTTGGGTGAGTTGAGGTCCCTTAGGGTGAGTATTGGTACAGTGCCTGGCTTGTTAGAGGCGTTAAGTCAGTGTGGACTGCAGTTGCGCGTTTGACGCTGGTGTCTCGAGGTCTGCTGGTCTACCTACTCATGGGGTCCCAGAAGTCAGAGGGAGACCCAGTCACGCCACAGTTGCCACGGAGCCTGGTACAGACCTGACACAGGGTCTGCTGGTGGCAGGCGCAGGGGAGAGGTTCTCTGGGGGGCTGGGTACCTGGATGGAGTCACTCTCCCCGTCTCCTGTGTCCAGGGCTGGGCACAGTGGGGTCAGCACCTGTCCCAGCCCTTGGGGACTTAGGGGAGACTGAGGGATGTGTTGTGGGGGCAAGAGCTCTGAGAAAGGACCGGAAACCAGACTCTACCAGTGAAGCCACACCCTGTGGCCAGATCAACCCCCGGGAGGTAGTGGGGTGGCCTCTGACATGGACTCAGGGCTGACCTCCCGAAAAGGCAGGAAGCGCCCCAGGCTTCCTGGGCAAGACCTCTGGTGGGCTCCAGCCTCTGCACAGACTGGGTCCTCTGCCCAGAGCACCTTATCCCACGGTGATGGATCATTGCCCCAATTCCATCCTGTCCCCAGGAGGCAGTCAACCCTGCCAATCAGTATACCAATAGCCCTGGGAGCTCAATGGACAGGACCTGGCTAGGGAAGATGCCTGTGTGGATCTTGAAATAGGAGCAAGTCAGGGGAAGAGGACGCTGGGCCTCTACGTGTGTGTGTGTGTGTGCGCGCGCGCATGTGTGTGTGTGTGTGTGTGTGGTGCGCACGTGGGAATGTGGAACAGTGCTACCTGGAAACAGGGAACAGCCTGGTGTGCTGAGGAAGCTCCAAGCCAATTGGGGCTGCTGGAGCATCTCGTTTCAGGAAAGGGGGTGACGGAAAAGGCACGGTGAGCACTGAGTGCCAGAATAAAGGGCTTGTTTGTTACCTCATAGGCATGGATGGCTATTCTCCTTACTCAAGGGAGCTGGGATGGGAGCAAGGATGGCGGAGAAGGGGAAAGGAGGGGGCAGAGAGGGCATGGGTCTCTCCAGTCCTGCCCCCACCCCCAGGCTGACTCCAGGGTTGACTGCCCGCAGCAGCAGCCCCGTATCGATGATCTGTACCAAGAAGGCTGATGTATGAGGAATGGGAGGTGGTCCTCAGGCCCAACCCCCACGCAGCAGCGCCCCCTCCCTCGCTGATGGCTCAGTCCCACCAATCAATACATTGATAGTCCTGGGAGCCTAATGGACAGGCTGGGGGTGGGGAAGGGCCCCTCAGCGTCACTGTGTGTCCTGGCTGAGCTGGGTGTGGGGAGGGTAACAGGAAAGAGGCTGGACGTCTGGGCCGAGGGGTGGGGGCGCCCATGTGAGCCATGCTCAGATGCAGGGTGGGCCCGGCTTGCCTCCTCCCCTTTCTATCAGGGTGCCAGCTGGGAGAAGTCCGCGGGCCTCAGATCCAGGGCTGAGCTCTGGTCTTGGCACTGTCAGTTTCTATACGACTTGGGCCAGTCCGGTGCCTCTTTGTGTTCCAACCTGCTCAGGTGGTGTGAAGAGTCAGGGGATGGAGCCTGGCGAGTGCCGAGCCCGGGTCCTGGCACGGACAAGCCCCCGTAGGTAGGCAGGAGCCATCGTGAGCCTCGCTCTCCATGCTGCTAATCCACAGAGAAGCTCCAGGCCAGAGGCCAGGCTGCTCTCCAGGAAGAGTTTGGGGAGCTGTGCTCTGGGGTGGGGAGGGGAGCTGACTTTACCAGGGCCTACCCCTGGAGGCAGCTGAAGGACTCAGGTTTGAATCCAGAATTTGGAGGAGTCAGAGAACCTCGGCTGTGGCTGCTGCTGGAGGAGGCAGGCGGTGGTGGAATGTGGCCGGAAGTCTGTGGGCTGCCCCTCCTGGGGCCAGGGGACCCTCCCTTTCTGGGCAGGCTGCCTGGAGGCGGGGTACGGATTGCCTGAGGCCTCAAGGATCAGGGACCTGGGCAGGAGGGGGCAGTGGGACCCCATATTCTGTCTTGGGTGGAGGTCAAGGCCTCCAGTGCTTTTGTGAACTATACCCCCACCCGCCAACTAGGGTTTGTCCTGGAAACATGGAAGGGGGCGGGGGAGGAAGAGAAGGCAGAAAAGCAGCAGGCGGGTGAGGCAGTGGAGAGCCTGGGGTGGACTGGAATCTGGATTCCTCTTCTCACCAGTTCTGTGACTTAGGACAAGGCCTGTAACCTCTGGGAGACTTAGCTGCCCTGTCTGTAAAATGGGGATAATAATCATATCAGCCCATAGGGTTGCTCTGGGTATCACATGGTAACATTTACCTTAGCACAGAGGAAGTGCTTCACATGTAGGGGCTGTTTAAAAAGCAAAACTAGGCTAGGCGTGGTGGCTTGAGCCTATAGTCCCAGCACTTTGGGAGGCCGAGGTGAGAGGATTGTCTGAGCCCGGGATTCGAAATCAGCCTGGGCAACTTGGTGAGACCTCGTCTCTGCAATAAAATTAGAAAAAAATAGCTGGGCATGGTGGTGCACATCTGTAGTTCTGGCTATTTGGAAGGCTGAGGTGGAAGGACGCCCTGAGCCCAGCAGATCAAGGCTACAGTGGCCATGAGTGTGCCACTGCACTCTAGCCTGGGCGACAGAGTGAGACTCTGGCTCAAAAACTTAAATTTAAAAAATAGAAAATAAAAAGCAAAATTAAACTAAGGAGACAAGAAAATAAACTAAAGTAGTAGCTCACTATGTGTGTGACTCATGTCTATAATTCTAGTGCCTTGGGAGGCTGAAGTGGGAGGATTGCCTGAGGTCAGGAGTTTGAGACCAACCTGGGCAACATCATAAGATCTTGTATCATCAATAACAAATAATAATAAGCCGGTATAGTGGTGCATGCTGTAGTCTCAGCTACTCAGGAGACTGAGGTGGGAGGATTGCTTGAGTCTAAGAGGTAGAGGCTACAGTGAGCTATGATCTTACCAAGGCACTCAGCCTGGGCAACAGAGAAAGATCCTATCTCTAAAAAAAAAAAAAGAATCGAATAGGTTGGTGATTAGGGGTAAAGCCAGGTGACCCCATGGGCCAGTGAGTCGGGGCTGTGTTGCTTGAACCGTGTTGCTGTCCAGTGTGTGGGGGTTGTGTGCCTGTTCGTGTGGGGTGTGCTGTAGGTGATGTGATGGGATTTTGTGGGGGGTGGAAATGGAGCCAGGAGGAAACAGGAAGCTCCCAAACAAGCTGGGCAGCCATGAGTGGGCCAGAGAGGGTGACACCTTAAGGCCACAGGGAGGGACGGTGGCTGTCGCATGCCACAGCAGGAGGAGTGCCTTAGTTGATTTTCAGAAGCTGGCACTGGGCTAGGTCTCATCCTGACCTCTGCGCACCCCATGGCAGTTTCCCACCAGATGCCTAAGTCAGGAGGTTTGGAGGGTAGACGGGGCTGGATGGCAAGGGTGATGACACTTGATGTTGTTCTGGGTGGTGAGGTGCCCGAGAGTTCAGGTTTCTGGGCCTCAGTTTCTCCGTCTGTTAAATGGGGTGATTCGTGTTCCCAGGGCCCAGGGTAGTCAGGCCCATCACAAGCAACAGCGTCTTCCCACAGGGCAATCTGGCCCTCCGGGCTTCCCTCAGAGCTCCCCGCAGGGTTCCCTCAGTGCTCACTCCGTGCTGGACCCTGCTCTGAGCACTTAGGACATTGCATGTCCCGGGCAGGGACACAGCATCACGGTGTTTGTTAAGAGCTGCGCTGGACAAAGACGGGACTGCAGGTCGAAGGGGGCTAGCTCTGTGCAACAGAGCACCATGACTGTCCCCAGGGTCTGGGGACCTCGGCAGGCCAGGTTTGAGGTTTGAGCAGCCCATTACTGTCCTTGCCCTCTGTTGAGGACTGGGGAGTGAAAGTTTCCAGCAGAGCTGTAGCCCTCAGGGCAGGGGAAGGGCAGGTGGGGGGGACAGTGCCTGAGGCTGCAGGGCCTCTAGACCACCCAGCTGTGGGAAAAGCTGCTTCTACCCAAAAGGCTGTGCCTATGTGTGGCGTGGGGGAAGTGGAGTGAGAAGGGCACCTTCCCTCTGCGGAAGAAGGCGCCCCTTATGCACCCATTCTTCTGTCCTTGGGAGAGTCATAATCACACGTGTTGATTTTGCTCAACACCCCTGGTCATGGTGAGGGGTGTTAGCGGAGCAGACAGCAGCTCTGACTGTCCTGGGGAGGCCTCAAAGATAGGCCCCCTCTCAGGGCAACCAAGGCCAGGAGACTTGATGCACAGCCAGCGGGAAAGGAGAAGCGGGTATTCCCAAGGCAGCCCCGCTTTTCATGAGCTCTGGCGGCAGACCCCCTGGAGATGGCCTCAGAGGTCTGATCTCTGAAATGGGCCCTAGCTGGTGCTTGCTTCCATGGGAGGTTGAGGGAATTAGATGAGTCAGGTACCCTATCCAGAGAGCGTCTTAGCGGAGTGCCTGGGGCAGAGGAAAGCTTACTAAACACTAGCTTTAAAAACATCCCTTGTGGCCAGGTGCAGTGGCTTATGTCTGTAATCTCAGTGCTTTGGGAGGCCGAGGTGGGAGGGTCCCTTGAGGCCAGGAGTTTGAGACCAGCCTGGGCATAGCAAGACCCTATCTCTACAAAAAAATATTTTAAAAACATTAGCTGGGCTTGGTAGCACATGCCTGTAGTCCTAGCTATTCAGGAGGCTGAAATAGGAGGACTGCTTCAGCAGGAGGTCGAGGCTGCAGTGAGCTCTGATGGAACCAATGCACTCCAGTCTGGGCAACAGAGCGAGATGTTGTTTCAAAAAATAAGTAAATAAGTAAGTAAATAAATAAAAACATCCTTTACCATCCCTCTGTGGGATATTCTGCTTGTTTGGGTAGAGAGTGGTGGGGCTGATATTGGCCTCTAAGTTTCTCTTGCTTTTAGCCAGTCTTTTTTGCGAGCATTTGCTGATTGACTGCTGAGGGCAGAGCTGAAATCTGGGCTGGACTTGGGGCAATGTTGATAGAGCCTTGGAAGCTCGAACTCAGCCTGGGGGATGGGTGCAGGAAAGGCTTTTCCAGGGGGTACCTGAAGGCAGGAGACCACTGGACAGAAGGAGGCAGGGTGCCCTGGGCAGAGCACCCAGCCTGTGCAGAAGGCTGGCGCCCACCAGTCGTCTTACCCAGAAAACCAGAGGATAGTTCCTGCCTTTTCTGGAGGACAGGCCCTGTTTTCACGTCAGAGGCCACCTCTGCAACCTGCCTCAGGGTTGATCTGGCCACAGGGTGTGGCTTCCATGGTGGAAGCTGGCCAAGATGGATTGCTCCCCCCACATCCTGGGGAAGGGCCACCCGATAGCCCCTGCTGACCCTGGGTCACCCACGATGCCTGTGTCCAGTGGGCCAGGGAGAAAATCATTAATGGGAGGCCGGTTTCTGGGGCAGGGCAGCTGCCCTGGGGGACTTGGGGGAAGGAGATTGGTTTGACCTCTGGTCGATAAGGTCTCCTGTGAGCAGGAGGAGAGTTGGAGCACAGGGAGGGATGCCGGGGGGCTGACCCTTGGAGGAGGGGACAGGGCCAGCCACCTCCGGAAGTCATTCCAAGAAGGTCAGAGGCCATGTGTGGGGGTGTCTTCAGGACAGATGCCCGCCAGGTGTGGGCCTTGGGACAGCGGAGTTCTTCCTTCCCTGAGCATCAAGATGTGAAAGGGAGTGGCCCCAGGTGTGGGTCAGGCTGTGAGCGGGAATGGGGCTGTGGTCGAGGCTGGGAGACATGAGGATGCACATGTGGAGTCTGAAGGCCAGGCTCTGCCCCCCTGGGCCGTGTAGCTTGAGCACTGGAGTTCAGGTTTCTGGGCCTCAGTTTCTCCGTCTGTTAAATGGGGTGATTCGTGTTCCCAGGGCCCAGGGTAGTCAGGCCCATCACAAGCAACAGCGTCTTCCCACAGGGCAATCTGGCCCTCCGGGCTTCCCTCAGAGCTCCCCGCAGGGTTCCCTCAGTGCTCACTCCGTGCTGGACCCTGCTCTGAGCACTTAGGACATTGCTTATATGTGTAATCTCCACAGCCACCCATGAGGTGGGTGCCAGTATCATCACCCTCATTATATAGGTGAGGAAACGGAGGCACAAAGAGTTTAGCAACTTGCCTAGAGTTCCTTAGCTAGAGAGTGGCACGCCCTTGGTTTGAGACCCCAGGTCAGCTGCGTGGTGGGCGGAGGAAAAAGTTATAGCCAGCTGTGGTCACTGATTCCTGGAGGAGGCTGGCCAGGCCTCCCTCTTTCCCCACAGTGAACCCAGAGTCCTTCCCCTCTCGTTCCTCGCCCATCTTGGGCAAATGCTTGGTGTGGGAGCGAGTGTGGGGACCCTTGGGGGATGGGTCAGGCGGGTCCAGCCTGCAGGGGTGGTGCACAGGGAACATGGCCATTGGAGCCACGAGGCCTAGGGTTAACTCTGCGTTGCTTGCTCTGTGACCTGTCAGTTAAGCTGTAGAGCCTCAGTTTCCTCATCTGTATGTGGAGTGACGCTTCCACCCTGAGGACAATTGTGAAGGTTCAATCCTGTGGTCTCGCTGACGTACCTGAGGGGGCCCAGGCCAGGGTTGGGGGACACATGCAGGTCAGTCTAGGGACAGAGATCCTGAGCTGGGCGTGAACTGTTGCAAATGAGCAAAGCATGATCCCTGCCCTTGGGCGCTCCCAGCTGGGGTGAGACAGATGCAGGGCAGCCAAGGTCCCAAGAACTTTGCCCCAGGCTGGCGTGGGAATGGGGTCCTGCAGGCCTGGCATCCAGCCAGACATTGTGGACATGCTGGGAGCAAACCTGGAATGCTCTCTGGGCTTTAGAACTACCTGGCTGTTTACATTCACTTTTATTTAAATTTATCTTTTATTTTTGTGGAGGCAGGGCCTCGCCGTGTTGCTGAGGTGGTCTCGAACTCCTAGGCTCAGGTGATCCTCCCGCCTCGGCCTCCCGGAGTCCTGGGATTACAGGCATGAACCACTGCATCCGACTAAGAACTGTCTGACTTTGTGGTTAAGATGGGATGGGACCTGCATGTGGTTAGCAGATGTGTGAAGACCTCATGTAACTGGCATGCTAGGACTCCAAGTCTTTTCAGCATTCATTCTTTCATTCAGCAAGTGTTTGAGTTTCTACCTTGTTAGGTGCTGGGGAAATAGGGGCAAAAAAGAAAGGACAGCCCCAGCTGCTGCAGTGCTGCCAGTCTACTGGGGACAGACAGGCAAAACCCAGAGAATCGGGTGGTGTGTAAGGTTGGTACGTGCTAGAAAGAAACGCAGCGCATGAGTGACGGAGGGAGAGTGTCAGAGGTGAGGCAGCCTCAGAAGGGAGTCCAGGAGGACCTCTGTGAGGAGGTGATATTTGGGAAGAGACCCCAGTGAACTTGAGAGGCCAGGAGCTGGGAAGGAACCTCAAGGCAAAGGGAAGAATGAGTGCGGAGGCCCTGGGGTGGGAGTGTGTTTTGCGTTTGGGACATGCTAAGGCAGCTGGTGCAGCTAGTGGGGAGGGAGTGGTGTGGAATGAAGCTGTCAGGGGCCACCTGGTAGGGCCTCGAGACCCTGGAGAGGACCTTTATCCAAGTGTGATGGGAGGCTGTGAAAAGGGAGCTTACACAAGGGGTTTGAGTTTGGTGGAGGACAGACTACCCCAGGGGCGAGAGCGGAGGCAGGGGGCCAATGAGGAGGTGAGTGCAACTTGTCCAGAAGGGAGACCATGGTTGGGAAGAGAGATGGAAGAGACAGGTGCTGGCAGAACCAGAGAAGGCTTCCTGGAGGAATGGACAGGCAGGAGCTAAGCCTCAAGGGACACAAGGGATTTTGTGGCAGATGCAAAACAAAGGGCCCAGGATATGGGAGCAAGCACAGGAACCCCTGGGCATGGGGGAGGCAATCTCCAGCACTAGCGTGAGGTGTGGGGGTCAAATTACAGTAGACTCGGCCATTGGTTCCTGGGTGAGGCTGGCCAGGTCTGCCTTCTTCCCTGCGTGGACCTCGAGTTCTGTCCTCTCGTCCCTTGTCCACCTCCGTATGGTGGGTCTCAGTTTCCTTACCTGTAAAATGGGGGTGCAATAGCAAATCCTCGAGAGGCGTGTCAGGCTTCCCATTTGGTCGCTTTATCCTCATAGACAACCTGAGACGAGTCAGGGCAGGGCCTCTGCTCCACCCTCTAAACTGAGAAGAAATCTGAGGTGGAACAAACATTCGTTCCCTATTCTTAATTCAGGGCTGTGGTAGAAAGATAACAAGCTTTGCTACCAAACAGACCTAGCCCCAGTTCTTAGCTTTGCCACTTCCTGGCTGGGCCACCTTGGGCAACTTGCCTAAACTCTCTGAGCCTCAGTTGCCTCATCTGTGAGGTGGGGGTGGTAACAGGGTGAGGCCTGGCCCAGAGCTGGCATGGAGGAGAGGTGTCCTTGTTCTTGGCTGTGGACGTGGCAGGCTCCTGCAAGCAGGGGATGCAGGACTCCCCGTGTGGCTCACCGTGTCCCTTTCCCCTGCCCAGGTGCTGGTGGCCGAGGAAAACGTGGACTTTCGCATCCACGTGGAGAACCAGACGCGGGCTCGGGACGATGTGAGCCGTAAGCAGCTGCGGCTGTACCAGCTTTACAGCCGGACCAGCGGGAAACACATCCAGGTCCTGGGGCGCAGGATCAGTGCCCGCGGGGAGGACGGTGACAAGTATGGTATGTGCCAACCCCCCGCCCTGTGCACACACTCACCCCAGCCTCAGAGGCCTCAGAGTCTAATCCCAGCTCTGCCGGGTCCTGGCTGTGTGACCTGGGACCTGGCCTGAACCTTCCTGGGCCTCAGTTTCCTTACCTGTAAAATGGGGATGCAATAACAAATCCTTGAGAGGCGTGTCAGGCATCCTAACTAGAGATGAGACTACCAGGTGCTTTTGCGGGCAAGTGGCCCATACATGACAGCTGTAGTGGTGTGGGTGGCTTGCCTGGGGACGGCCTGAAGCAGTTAACTGCTTTCAAGCTATTACTGCCCCAGCGCCAGGTTCAGACACGTTGAGGGGTCGGAGGTCTGGGGGATGCTTTTTGGGTGGCAGAGACCAGCCTGGTGCGTGTGTGTGTGTGTGTGTGCATGTGCCTGTGTGCTTTGAGCCTAAGCCTGTGTATCTGTGGTGCAGGGCCACTCCCAACACCTTGGGCCATGGTCCTGTTGACCTGCCCTTGACCCTGGAACTGGACAGCCCTCCTGGGGTGTTTGGGAACCCTCAGCCCCCATCCATGCTGCCTCTGCAAAAGGCTGGGAGGAGTGAGGCGCCCTGACCTCTCCCTCCCCTAGCCCCCAGCCCACAGAGGCACTCAGCAGTGAGTGGAGCAGACAGGACTCTGGCTGAGACAGACGCTGAGCAAATCCTTACCATGCATGTTATTTATTTAAAATTGCCAGACAGTAGAAGTCGAGGCTGTGGTGAGGCCTCCTGGTCCTTACCCCTCACAGGGAAGCATCTGCCCCCACTCGTTCCTGCCGTCTCGGCCCAGGTTCTGGGAGGTGTCCCAGGCCCCAGCCTTGGACCTGCAGAGGGGAGCTGGGGGGTCCGAAGCACCAGTAGGGGCTGTGGTCCCATGCATGGGGCCGGGCCTGCCAGCCCAGGTGTTTCTGAGATGGTGCCCGCCTGCCCGCTGGCTTTGCCGTTGCAGTCAGGATGTGACAACAAGACAAATATTTCTTAGACCTTTTATCTTGGACACCATTTATTTTCTCTCAGCCCCGGGGCAGGACTGACCTCATGGTGGGGCCTGAGTGTGGCAGCTGCACCGTCACTGGGGGCTGGGCCAGGCCAGGCCAGGCTGGGCAGGGTCGGGCCACTGGGCTCACGCACCTCCAGGCCAGCTGCCTCCCCTCCCTTCTCCCTGCCCATCGCCCTTCCCTGCCTCCACCTCCTCCCTCCCTCTCTCTTTTCTTCGTTTCCAGGTTCTCACCCCCAGCACCCCCCCTTTGTTTCTATGTGTCTCTCTGACCCCCCTCCCTGCCACCTCTGTCCTCCCTGCCTCCCTCCCTCTGACCACAACTTCCCTCCTCCCCTCCTCTCCCAGGCCCTCTGCTGTCTGCCTCTCTAGGGCCTCTGTCTCTCAAGTCCCTCCCCTCCCCCCCATGGACGCCTGGCTGTGTTGGGCAGACCCAGGTGGTGGTTTTCCCTGGGATCTGCTGTCCAGTTGCTGCCAGGGAAAGGGCAGCTGGCTGGCTCAGGCGGGAGGAGGTGCCCTCCTGGGGAGTCCCCTGAGCTCTCGCTGGCCCCTCCAGGCTGGGAGAGAAGCGGGGCGGGGGGGGGGGGGGGGGGGTGGTCAGACTCTGGTCTGAACCATCTGTCCACACCCTGAGACAGGAGGCAGGAGCTCAGGAGGGAGGGGAGCCCTGAAGGCCAGCCCCTCTCCCGGAAGTGCCTTGCCCTTTCTTTCCCTCTACCTGAAGTGGGAGCTCAGGAGCTCTTACCTGTGGTGTGACCTCAGACAAGCCCGTTGTCCTCTGGGCCTCAGTTTCTCCTCTGTGCAATACAAGGGTTGGATGAGAGTGGTGCTTCTTAAACGTTAACATCCACGTCAGCCATCGAAGGATCTGGTTAAAACACTAGTGTGGACTCGGGGACCTGAGCCTCTGCATCCTAGCAAGCACCTAGGTGGTGCAGATGTATCCAGGGACTAGCCTTTTTCGGCTTCTTGGCCAGTCCTGTGGGCTCTGGGATGTAATAATCCTCTCTTGAGGAATACAGTTATGACTCCACCCCGACACCCAGGATGACTGGGGCCTTGGGCTGCTTTTGCTCCATTTAAATGTCACATTAGAAACACAGATGAGGCCAGGGGACCCCATCTGTGAGCCCTGGGAGAGGAAGTGAGACAATGAAGCCAGCCAAGGCTTCCAATCTAGATAATCGATACAAATATTATTGGAAGGGTGATTTATGTGACTAAGCTCGGACCTGAGGGTGGGGCCGCCCCGTCGATCTGCGTTAGGGGTCTGTCCTGCCTGGGGGAGGGGCAGTCAGGGCCCAGGATGGGCAGGAACCCCGCTCCTCTTGGAACGAGGCAGTCTGAGACTTGTAATGCACAGTCAGTATCACATCATTTTACACTGTGCGGTCTCAGAAGTTCAGTAAACACCAAGTATAAAATGGAATCCCTATAAACACCTGGACTCAATCTCCCCATGCCCCTAGCTCTCAGGTTTGAGTCTGTAAAAGGCCGACATCCTGAAGCGCTGGACCCTGAGGTGTGGACCCGTATGGGTGCCTGCTGCGCCACAGTGAGTGGTCCTCTGGTGAGATCTGCATGGACGGTGGGGCGTCTGCACCGCTGATCTGCAGGACAGCTCTTTGTGGCCCCCCAAAGCTTTCCCCGCACCGACAAGCTTCAGGAGCCCAAGGGTGGGCTGCCCCAGGAACAAGGGTCTTTCTTAGTCTTGACTGGTCAGAGACCTGGAGGCTTAGGTAGTGGGATATCGGGCAGGCAGGGGCTGGGAAGCAGGGCACCCACCCAGCCGGGATGCTGTCAGCCTCTCCTCTTCTCGCCCTTGTCCTGGTCATCTCTGCCTGGCAGGCAGTTGCCACTTAGAAGAACACCACAGGGCCAGGAGGCAGGACACCTGTAGCTCTGCCACTGAGCAGCTGCAGAGCCCAGGGCGGGAGTCTCCAGCTCCAGGTTGTTTCCTCATCTGCCAAGTGGGGAGGAGGCTGATGTACCTCCGCCTGGGATGTCAAGGGAGGGGGAGGCTCAAGCCTGCTGCCTAGGGCTGGCTGAGCGCACAGCACAGGGAATGGTGAGACCCCAGCATAGCAGGGGTAGGGAGGTGTTTATAAACCTTATGATTGGATAGTCCTGCCTGATTTCACTTAAAAAACAGGGTTCTCGGCTGGGCGTGGTAGACACCTGTATTCCCAGGGCTTTGGGAGGCAGAGGCAAGAGAATTGCCTGAGTCCACTGGTTCGAGACCAGCCTGGGCAAATGGTGAGACCTCATCTCTACAATAAATCAAAAAATTAGCTGGGCGTGGTGGGTGTGCACCTATAGTTCCATCTACTTGGAAGGTTAAGGCAGAGGATTGCCTGAGCCCAGCAGGTCAAGGCTGCAGTGGCTGTGAGTGTGCCACAGCACTCCAGCCTGGGTGACAGAGTGAGACTCCAACTCAAAAACAAAAAATCTCCCCAAAACAGCGTTCCCTGTCTGAGAAAAAATGATTTTAAACAAGCAAACATTTTTATAGGCCCGGCGCAGTGGCTCTTGCCTGTTATCCCAGCACTTTCAGAGGCCAAGGCGGGAGGATTGCTTGAGCTCAGGAGTTCAAGACCAGTCTGTGCAACATAGTGAGACCTCGTCTCTACAAAAAATAAAAAAATTAGCGGGGCATGGTGGTGTGCGCCTATAGTCCCAGCTACTCGGGAGGCTAAGGTGGAAGGATTGTCTGAGCTAGGAGGTCGAGGCTGCAGTGACTCTGGATTGTGCCAGTGCACTCCAGGTTGTGTGACAGAGTGAGAACCCCAACTCAAAAAATAAAAAACAAAAAAACCCATTTTGCAGTAGGCCAGCCTCCCGGGGCTGACTGCCCAGAACCACCTGGGACTTGTGGCCCTTGTGCAGTGGGGGACTGGGCTAGCCAGGGAGACGTATTTGGAGGGTTGAGACTGGTGTCAACTCTAGAGGCTGATGGGATTTGAACCTCGGCTTCGCCACTTGGCAGCTGGGAGGCAGCATGTCTATTAGCCTTTCTGACTGTGTTTCCTCTTCTACAAAGTGGGGTAACTGAAATGAGGGAATTTTATGCCCAAAGATCATGTGGTAATTAAGACAAGATTATTAACAGTAAACACCTGAACTCTTTCTGTTGTTTGGAGGGAGTAGGGGCGCTGTCATGGGCTCATGAGGTTTGCTGGTCAGGACCTGGCTCCTGAGGCTTCCAGAAGGGATGCTGGGGCAAGAAGGGGAGCTCTTGTCTCCCATCATGGGGCCCTGGCATGTTGGATGTGGGTAGCAGAGCCATCTCCAGCATGATTTGGAGCAGCGGGGTCTCAGACCAGATGAGGAAGCATGGCCTTTGGACTCTCTTGCTGGGTGTGGTCTAGTCCCCTCACAGTCAACACCGGGGTCCCTCACACATTCAACACACATTACCAAGCCTGGGTGAGACAGGCCTGGTCCCAGCCCCCAAGGAGCCCATAGTCAAAGGCCCCCTGTTCCTTAATAGGGACTGCCTTTGAGTAGGAAGAAACTAGGCCACCAACTTTCCGTGTGACTGTGAGCCTACCCGTTTCCTCCCTGGGCCTCAGTTTCCCCACCTGCAACGTGGGTGGGGTGCGGGGTGTGCAGTTGGTACTCTGTGGCTTCCTCTAGCCCTGGCATGGCATGCATCTGTGATTTGGGGTCACAGGGAGTCAGTGTGCGCTGGCGGGTGGTTCCCTGAGCTCCCAGGCTGGGTGGAGTGCCTTGGGCCCCCGGGCTCGCCCTTGTCCCAACAATTGTCCTGCTGCAGTGGAACCATCTGCGGATGTGCTGGCTCCCTGCGAGAGTGCGAGCTCCTTGAAAGCAGTGATCCTGTCTTGCTTTGTGCCGTGTCCCCATGTCCCACATAAGGCCTGGCAGGGCAGGCCCCGGAAAGGCTACTGGATGAAGGGGCAAAATGGCCCATCGGGGCTGCCCTGAGTGACTCACACAGGAAAGCAGGTGGGGGATCCCAG